GGTGTGCCGCTTATATATGGAGGGGTCGCAAAGCATTACACCCGCACTGCGCAAACTCCAATGTCCATAAATGGGGGGTTGCTAAATTCCTACGTTTCACGATAATTATATATGCAGTGAGAATAAGTCATAATTACATTTTCTAAAGAACTTAATGTTATGTTCTGAATTGATTTACCAGAACCTTTTATAAGAGTTATATTATTTTCTTATATTGTCAATAGCCCGGCCACCACTGAAGAGTCCATTCTATTTGACACCGAAAAAGAAGTTTTCAAAAGATGATTGCGTGTGGTACAGTTCTGTTCCTGTCGACCATAATACATGGGGAATACCGTAAAAAAGCTATGGGAGTTAGCAGGAATCCAAGGACACCATACTAATCATGCGCTGCTACCGCAACACTTGGCCTCGCCAAGGGAATTCCAGACAAGATGCWAATGGAAGGACAGGTCATCGAAGTGCGAAGTCACCCGTATCAACGACCGAGCGAAGAAGTTAAAGAGAAAGTATCCGAAATTCTGCAAGGAACTGTAGATACCTTTTACGATGCCCCCGTAGCTAAGAAAGTGAAATACTCTGGTCAGGAAGAAGAAAATGTACACGACAACAACCAGTTTAGSGAGTGTAAAGAAGGGGGAGTGCGATTTGTGAATTGTAATGTGTACTTTGGAAATGTGAATAATTAAAGAAATGTTATAAAATAAATAGATTATATAATGTATACACCTACTTGCAAGAAGGTTGACATACAAGAATAGAACATTAGTAATTTAGCGAGAAAGGAATAAATTAGAAGACAAAAGAAAAAGTTCAGCTTCGGTGATCTTCTTTTGTTTTTTAATATAATTCCTATCCCATTAAATCACTGTTCTATTTTCGTATGTCAACGTTCTTGCAAGTAGGTGTACATCTACTCTTAAGTAACGTGCAATTCAATAGCCCCTCTCTTCCCTGCTGAATTCAATTCAAGTTTTACTTGTCATTCAGTGTAATTACGTTGGGTATCAGTGACCGCGGTATATCWAAGATAATCGAGTTACCCATGAACTAAGTACATGCGTAATAAGTAAATTACGAGCCTTAGATGAACTAAGTACTTATAAGTGCATATCTTTATGGTTTTTGCCCTCGTATTTCATGTCAAAATCGCTGCGCCAGTAGAATGGAACACTTTACCATCTAGTATTAGGCATATTACATCATTACCTTCTTTTAAAGAACACTTAAAGACATATTTTTATAGAAAAGCCTTTATTTAGTTGTTTTTGCAATTCCCATTGATTAACTTAGCTTTTATGTTTCTAGTTATTGTTTCTGTATTCCGCGCAGATGATCATCTTGTGCTAATCTGCGCTTTATAAATGTAATTTATTTTTATTTATTATTATTATGTCTCCCGATACTCTGATTAGAATTGTCCCGYTTTTATCGAATTGTCCCTCTTCTGGTGCTGAAGATAATAATGTCCCAAATACAGTAATTGC